CGCGGCCACACATAACGAAATTGTCCCAAATTTAGATATTACATAAAAAATCAAGTCCGGAATACGATGGAAAAACAATTTCCAAAAATCTATAATCATATTTAAGAAATAAGATTTTTTCAAGTAATGGCGCGTCAAAAGTTTGGAAACTTTTTGTTTCCCTCATCATTATGATTCCTACTCTTCAATGTTCACTTGTTTCTGTTAATTTTAGTTCAACCATTGAGCAATGTGTAATTTCAAAATGAATTCATATGCAAAGGAAGCAGTTTTTCCATGGGAGGTCCTTTTTTAAACCCTACAATCCGGAATACGAAATTGAAATTGTTTCTTAGTAGTTCAGTCTCTTTGAAAGCAGTATTATCGAATGTTTTCAACGTTTTTGGAGTCGAGTAAGCATAAGAAGATTGATCATTCACAAAAAAATCCCTAACGAGAAAATTGACCTTCCTCAAATATACTTCGAAGGGGTTGACACGTCCCGTACCCCCGATATCCCCAACTAAGGACGACTTTTTCTGGTTTTTTCCTAATCATATGAAAGTCCAAGTGCAGCCCAACATCGGCCGCGACCTGGTGAATATTACGGATGATGTCCCAACAAGAAGCCATTGTTGGGCTTCAAGAGGGCAGGATGGCCCAACTGGCTTCCGCACCACTAACGGCTAACATGGACCGAAGGCGAGAGGTAAAAGTTTGTCCTCAGCGACGAGTGGGATTTCTTTCTAACTAAATGATGTTGTAGGTCCTGTGAAAGTGTTCTATCAACAGGAAACCTAATTCTAGCTACCAGACTCCAACAGCCAGAAATAGTGGAAGTACTGTCATGGATGAAGATGTGTCCGACCATTCGGCGATTCCCCAGTTCTTAGTATCCAGCGAAATGTGTGTTGGGCTAAATACAAGGATAGTCTCTAGAATACAACGCTTCCCTTCGATAGTCAGAACTATCCGGAAAAGATGGGTTTTTATCGCGGAAATGACCCAATGCATGCCTACCTCCTCACTGCTGCCTTCCAAAATCAAGAAAAGAAGCTGTTATAAAGCGACCAAGTCAAGATCTAAAGTCTAATTGAGTTCTACATCCCACGGAAGAACTGGCATGTCGCTCAACCACATTCCAGTTAGGAATCCCACCAAACAATGCGATTTAGTTCACAGTGTGCAGGGTTCGACTTAAAAGTCCTAAAATTATTTTATAGTCAACTCCGTGTCAATAAAAACGACGCTGACATAGAAATTCACAGCTACTCATCGAAAATAAGTTAATTTATCATGTAGATTCGAGAGCTATTTTGCCGAATTCGCTGTGGAATTGAGAAGTTTCCAAACTTTTGACGCGCCATTTCTTATAAAAATTCGTATTTTTCAAAAGCGAATCTCGTTTTCAAAAAATTATGTTGCTTATCGTAATCTACACTTGATTCTGTATATAATATGTGAATTCGGGACAATTTCATTGTCTATTGGCTACACTAGATCAAAAATAAAAAAGTTTCCAAACTTTTGACCGCTACTGTACTAGTAACCTTTATGCCTACAGTAATCGCCGAACTCTCGCTAGTAGTTGCAATCATTGGACCAGCTAGGACCACAATATTATTACACCTTATATTTTAATAAGAATTAAATGCTACTATGCATGGACAAAACAAAAAGTTTTCCAATGTCAACTGCTGTTTTTGGCTGCAGTTAGCCTTGTGAAAGTTTCACAAGAATGGTTATGATGCTGGGCTAAAAGCGGGGGCGTCTCCTCGTGAAGAAATTTTTCCGGAACAATTTCGGATAGTCTGAAGAGAAGCAGAACTTGTGGAGGGTCCTCTGCGTCTCTCCACCCATTATGGTTTCCAGTGCTTCCCTCAGGATGCGTGGGATGCTCATTCATCAACAACAAGGGTACCCTATTTCATATAAATACGCATTAGATATGCTCCACGGCTTCATACCGTTTCCCCTTTGACAGAAGCCTTCTTTAATTATGTAGGTATTCATTGAGTGATGAATAGATAAAAATAAATTATTTTCTGCCCATTGAATCTGTTCTAACGAGATCGGATTCTGCTAAAACTAGAATGATCCATTTTTTCCTGAAAATATCCTGATCTAGCAATTCCTAATTGGAGCCTGTTTTCATTTGAAACGGATATGTAAGCATTTTTGCTAGCTTTCAAACATCTTAACTGGATAGCGATGCTTTCGCTGTTAGCGCTAGTGAGGTTCGTTAGGGCAGGGGAGCGGGGGGGGGGGGGGGACAAGTGGGCTCAGAAAAGTTGAAGGTTCTGCGTAAACCCAGCACTATGGCATCAGGAATATCTGAAACATGCTGGGACATTAATAGTAAATAAATAGCTGTAAAAATTACAGTAAATAAAAAATTGAAAAAGGTAAAAATTTCTCATCAGCAAATAAGTAACGAATAAAATCAATGCTATAGATTTTTCAAAGATCGCTTTCCAATCCCTAACGATAGTTTTTTTGTTACAGGGTTGAAAATCGGGATCCGTCGACGTTTCCCGACAACATTTACGAAAGAGCCCAAGCACATGTCTATCGACTGATGGAAAAGGTTAGTTTTGGAAGAATTTTTCTAGAGCGCTAAATTTATGTTTTCCACCGTAAAAGTAACCGCGCAGAATAGGATACTCGAGGGTATGCTGCCATAAGCTTCTCACCAGCCGTTGTGTAGGCTGGACGCCTAGAAATCCTTCTAAGGTTCCCACTGGTAAGTGATTGCACGGCGCGTACCGAAGCGACTGATTAAAACTGTTCTTGGGAATGAAGTTGTTAAGTGCTACAGTAGCTGTAAAATTGTCCGTTTGGGCAGGATTAGGTTAAAATGGCTGAAAATCGGAAATCAGACCGTGGAATGCGACCAAATTGCACATTTCCGTTGCTCTCCTGAACTATAGGTTTTGATTCGTTCTCCAAGGACCGTATGCCATCCTTTCCCCAGGACAGAGAAACAAAAAACCCCTTTAGATTTTTTTCTGCCTTTCCGACCACAATCGCCTTGGTAAAGACCCTATGTGTACTGCATGAATCGCTCCAGAACAGGGCACTGTCGTTGAAATGAATTTGGGGGGGGGGGCGATGGAGGTAGGTGGGTTGTAACCATTTTCTCGTGGAATTGTTTCCCTTTGCTGGCCTACAATCTCTCGAACTGTGACCATCCATCAACGAGCTCAAACCCGTCCGAATTCTAGACCTGTTGTTGACTGAAAGCTCTGCAGTTGCTATTGCCAAACCCCCCCAAGCCAACAGAATGAAGCCTCGAATTCTGAAGGACAGCGAATAAGTGTTTTGGGTGGCAACCGTTCCGATTTCCGACTTTCCTCCACCGGGATATACCTCAAAAATATAAGCTTTGCAGTCCTGACCCCTTATTGGAATACGGCGTCACTGTTTAAAAACCAAATTAGTGCAGCGCTGAAGAAAGGGGAGTTCATCCCTTGTTGATCGTTCCTTTTTGAAATGTGCCATGCCTTTACTAGTTCCCGAATTAGGGTACTATTTGAATACGTCTCAGCCCACACATGATCGTGCGAAGCGGACCAATGCCTAGCCGGAACCATGAGTTGAACTGAAGGGGCGGAAGCCAGGTTGACAGGATGCATGGTTGGAAGTTGAGCCAATCACCGCGCGCGTGTCAGTAAGCCGGCCAGTCCCCCTCTACACCACCTTCCTTCAGTCTGCCAATCAGCGGTGCCAATGGAGTGTTCACCACCAACGACCTCGAAAGAAACTAATTTGGAGCCTAATGTCGACCTCGGATCTTTTCTTTCTTTTGTCACCCACTGATGTGGCAAAGTCAAGCGTGCAAGGTAACTCGCATGGCAGTTACTTTCATGGTCACGTTACCAGGGACCCCGTGTGTGATTGTGCTTCGCCGGGACGAGAATAGCTATCTCATATAACACTCGCGCGTCACCAGACCAGAACAATTGACGGCGTCAGATTGTTTTTTTTGTTTGTATGCCATCGGTGCGAGTGGTCTTACACGCAAGGCCCTTCATGACACACCGAGCGGCTGTGGCTGCTGGCATTTCCGAGGAAAGCATGGTCCATTTCAACCTAGCATCGCTGTTCATAGGAACCACGAATAAGAGGGGAGCGCCAACAAGGAAGTATTATGTGCCAACTATCGAAGCTGATCCCTGGCTGCCAGAATTGAGGGAGTGGCGCTCTTCCGCAGAGATAAGGATGCGCTTGGTTGCTGGGCCAGAACTTCGAATACCCACTTTGCCCTCAAACACATCTTCCTACAACTTTAAGCCGAATTGATTTTGTACGAAGTTGTCCTGCCAGCAGTGCACAGACTGAATAATGCGTGGGAAAATGGTTGGCATGGTGCCACCAAACGCGTTGCGGTAAACTCGTCCATACGTCCATCGTCTTAGCCGCTGCATGTCCTTCTGCAAAGATCAACGCCCAAACAGTAGGGTCCATAATCGCGTTTTTTGGCGGGATTTTCTCTTTCTTCTTCCGCCATTGCATACAATTGAGCAACCCCACATCCCTTGTAAACTCCTCCAGTGCCTATCATAAAATACTCGCGGCCTTCAAGCAAGTACACCTAGCAATATAGAAAGCTCGAGGCAAAATGGGCTCTAATCCGGTGCAGTCTCTAAATAGAACAAGACCCAGAAGGAATCGACAATTCCAACAATTTTCGATGCCATAAACTCCTGGTGTTCTTTTTAGGGTTGTGAAGGTGGCACTGCTCTTGCCAGCGTTGCTCTTGGAAGAACTCTTTCAGCAAAGGGTCAAGTAGTATGTCTGATACACTGCACCAGTCCCCGTCATATCAAACGAAGGCTCTGAGCAATCTAAGAATTAAAAAAAACGTTCTAAGGGGTTCAGGACAATTATCATGACGTCTGGAGGGCGGTGTAGTTTTGATGATGCTTTTGAGTGCCACTGGTGGAAGGGCGTTAATAGGCTTCGCAACCGCACCCCTCCAGCGCGGTGAGGGGAAGTCCACCAATGAATTTCAGTGACGTCATCAAAGCACCGCCCTCTAGCCATCGTGACCGCTGCCTTTAAGTCTGAACCATCTTAGGGGTTGCACAGACATGCTTTATCATACCAGGATCTCGCTGGGCTGAAGATTCCCTTCATCCTCCATGTCCTGGAAATTCACGCGCTGCCGGGCTTAACGCTCTATCCCCGTTCTAGCATTTCGCACTAGTCGTTGATTTCAAAAATGATTCAATCTAATGTTTTCAGGACTGCTTCTCACGTTTCGTGCACACACCAGCTTACAAAGAAGTGGCCAAGAAGATGGGTCTACCGCAAACGTTTCGATTCAACTCTGAAAAAATTTCACCGGCCTGTTGAGGACTACCGTAGTACTGCTATGTACTTTTCTATCCCTGCTCTTGACAAAAATTTACCCTAGGTCTAATCAAAGTCATATTATTCTGGTGTAGTGCAAGGTCTAAACATTGACAGAGGATACAGCTGTTCCTCCCTATGATGGACCCCGTCTGATTCTATTGTGTTCCTATAAATTTAATTCCGACTTAAATGGACCACGAATTTTGGAGCCTTTATTATGATTTATTGTATGTCATACGCTAATTAGTTCTACTTTACCACTACGGTCTATCATCACATTTCGAATCTCGTGTCCGCAATTCGTGACAAGTGAGCGTGCTGTTGCGAAGCGGTTGCGCTCGTTTACACGTCGAATGTTGCGGAATATGATTCGTTCTGTGATGGTGGCTGATTTTCAATGTTCTTTAACGATTTGATGCTCGTCTCCATACCAGTTTTTCCCCTATTAGCACCAACTATTCACTCATTTACAGAGATTATTGATCTAAACTAGGGATAATCGATTGATCTCAAAAAAGTCGTTCCTCGTCAAATTATTATACTTCAGTTACTCGAATCAATGATAGATTTGTGCCGTTGAAGTCTTGATATTTCTGCTGCTGTACACGTTTCATTTTTTCCTTTTTTTGGATACTGTAATTAATATTAGTGTGTAGTTGATGTGCTGACACATTTTACAGGTCTCCCCTCCCCTTTTTTTCAGCACAATTGTCGTGCTATTACAGCTTGTGTCGTGACGCTTATTTACTACCTTTTTCTTTTGTAAGAATCGAATTGTAATTGTAATCGTTTTCTATTCCATTTTCTTCTTTTTGCCCAACGGGTTACCTCATTATTACATTGTAGTTTAGAATGTGAAGTCAGGAAGAACATCAGTAAATATTATAAAAATAGAAGTTCTATAATATATTCAGAATGGGTAGAATGCGTGGCGCATCCCAGAAGGGATGTGATCACCACCGAATGCTTTATTATTTTAGTGCAACATGGTCCGAACATTTGAGGGCGCTATAGCAATATACGGAGGCACTGTGGTGGCAGTGCATTAGAGATTGCGTGAAACATCTCCCTAATGCTAAAATAGGGACTAACGATAAGCCCTAGGCGCGAGATTAGGGACTCCAGGAGGCGTGAGCGATTTTCATTTACCTCTAAGTAACTGCCCCTTCTAGGCTTATTCCAAAAGGATGCCTCCGTAAATTGCGATAGCACCCATCCGAGCCTATAATTGTGACCTCAAACCAGCAAGCCAGGGTCAACCCTATGTTGCTACAAGTAGCAACGGGGGGTCGTATTTTGATGAGTTTGTAGAGGGGGGGTCGTACTTGCTTCGGTTGTAAGAAGTTGCATGTGATGAGTGGGGAGCGGCGCGGGAGAAAATTTGCCGTTTCAGCGCGCGTATATATACCCCCCCCCCTCTTCTGCCCCCGCTCGACGGTCATTTTTTGGGGTAAACTTGGTCGTGTGAAAGCATATTCATGAGGGAGGGGGGGTGGGGGTCCTAAGTAGCAACGATAGGACCGACCCTGCTCAAACGGCATATGAGTACGATCCGAACTCCTCTTTGAATCACCCACTGCATACCTGATGGGTCTAGGGCCATCATGGTCAACCAGTGTGTTGACAAAATTTCAGGGTACGTTACGAGAAGAGCCACTTCACACACTCTCCTGTCATCTCAAAATTCCGTATAGCCGAAAGGAAAGGGGAAGGGGGTAAGGGAAGGGGCGTATCAAACAGTGTAAAACGATGGAATTTTTCAGATTTCGTAAACCATCTCACATCCGAGGACTATTGTCATCTCATCTTTTCGTAAGTCGCTTGCCCTTCCCTCCCGAGACTCAAATGCAACACTCGTCAACCACATCCCCACCCCTCACCTTCGCCTCATGCGGAAATTGCGCAACAGAGAGCTGACAAGGTTTTCCTAGCTAGAGATCAAGAATAACCCAGTGAAAAAGCATAAAGAAAAGCATAAAGGTTTGATCAACTTGACCTCTTTCAAAAAGCATCACGCCATATATCTCCAGTCAAAGTTGTAGTGTTATTCAACACACTGAGGACCCCCCTTTGAAAGCATCCTCTACTATTCTGTTTTTCGAAAATGAATCATCATTAATTCATCAATAAATTTATCAGTGATGTTGCGAATTAACCCATTCGTGACAATGGCTGACAAAGATCTCACTTGTACAATGGTATCCACCGGTGGCTGCCGTGTTTCAAATGGAATTTGGAAAGTTTTCTTTCCTGAAAAGAATCTTCATACCCTCATTCATCTATGCCAGCCTTGGGCACGGGGAATCTCCATCCACTCAAATTTTATTGAAGAAAAATCTCCTGACTCTCCTGCTAATGCGCAAACCGGCGCGGTCGCGAATGGGTTAATTTTCAGTTCTGAAAATGAGTTCAAACAATCAGGAAGATTGAAAAATGTCACATAGTTTAGATAAAGCTATGCTCTTTCGTGTGAAATCGTGCGCCTCATGGTGGCTCTCGCGGTACGCAATTCATTAAATGGGATTTGCCTGTTCAATGAGTTGCGGGGACCATCCATTATAAAAGCGTTTCTGCTCCCAGACGAGCCTGATTACTGGCCGGCGTCTAGGGACAGTTCTTTAGTTAGCCCTGGCGAGACCCGGGACTTCACCCTTTGACCGTGAGTGTGGTAAAGTGTAGAACGTGTGGCCAGTATTTTACCACTCTATAGTTTGCAATGGGCGGAAGTGGTATAGTGTTAAGTGGTGTGCTCACCAAGCGAGCGGTCCGGTGGTCAAGTCCTGGGTCGTGCGTCGTCGGGGCCAACCAATCCTTCCATCCCTTTAAGGTCGGTTATTGACCTGTTCTGGGAGGAAGAATTTTGGCTGCCAGTGGAAAAATCACAAAATTGTTTGCAATTTTCGTGTCTGATTCTTCATTGTGTCTAGAGGTGTTTGATCCCATCTGTTTTAGAATCGTCACGTAGCGAGACAGGTGCGAGACTGCGACCAATCCTTGGTCGTGAATTCTGACACCTGCTTAAAGGATGCTGTTGATTGAAACCTACTTACGGACACCTCATTCTTTGCGATGGCCACGCCTCGAAGCAGTCTTGAACAGTGATGCTTTTCAAGCCGTAAGTTAAGGCTCATTAGGCCGACGGGACAGCTGCTAAGCATCACCTGTCACTCAAAACCATCTGAAGTGGAATTTCTTGAGAGTCTAGATCAAACGCTCGGCGAAGGTTCAGCGCAAGGAAATCAGAAAGAGATGTACTTTGATATAAGATATTTTTCACGGTTCAGAAGAAGGGAAATATTACCAATGAAAGACAAGCGGCTTCCTAGAGCCGATGTCAGACTCTGCGAATCGAGCGATTAGCGCTCGTGGTCGCGTTGCGCTACCAGCAGTAGAGCGACGCTGGTCGCGATGCGACCGCGGACGCTAGCGAATCGCTCGATTCGTAAAGTCTGACAACAGCCTAAGGGCGTGAAAGATCGCGCGCCTTTCGCGACAGCGAGTCGCTCCCAGGGCGTGTTGCGGTCTTGTCCGCGACGTTAACAGCTCTTTCACGCCCGTCGAGTAGGTACACATCGTGGCTGACTGGAAATTACTGGGCAAAGAAGTTGTCCATTCCTGAGTGCTAGACTGTTTCTCAATTGTTTTTTTTCTTCATCTATGCACCTCTAACCACCACTGCTTTGATTTCTAACGGGCTGCCCCATCGTAACTTCACCTTTTAGAGCGCTGAAATAGCAGTACCGTAATCTGTTGCAGGGCAGGAGTGGTAGTGCGGCTACGATCATGTAGGAAGTGACCATTTCGTCGTCCTATCAGTACCTGCGGCTCATCTCGAAATGGATCCACTCAATGGAGCAGAAGATGGCACCAAATGGAGTGGCTTGCTACCGTGATCCTTGCCCCTGAGCAAAAACGTGAACGCGATCGAAATGTTGAACTTTGGAGTGGCACATCCTGAACGGGATTGAATACGAGGTCAGCCACGCGCCGTAAGTACCTAGGCGTCAAGGGCACCGACTGAACTGGGATTGATTTAACGTAAATTCGATTCCTATCCACGATCGTAAATACGTTGAAAAATGTGAAGGGCATGTACGGGACAGGCGAGTACGGGCTGTTGTTGAGGACAGTGATTTCTTACTCTCAAGTGGAATACTTCGCTATCGCGATATACGGGGACATCCTCGAAAATGAACCCAGGATGAGCGCGAGCTCCGGGGAAAATGAAAATGGTTAACTTACCTTCTCACTTCCGCCTAAAGTTCAGTCCCGTTTTTAACGAAAAAGACACGTTTTACGAGGTTCAAAATGAGCACCACCACAATGCCCCTGTATATTGCGATAGCGCCTAAAGCACGTAGAATACTTCGCTATCGCAATACACGAACTAAAGTTGCATTGTCTCCTGTGGGAACCTTTAGGTTCGCACCATTAGGGGGAGATGAAATGCTTCAGAGTCTGTGCCATCTCTGCAACCGTCCGCAACCCAAAGATGATGGGGATATTGCAGGATTCGTACTTATCACCTCATTTCTACTTCCTTTTATAAAGGATAAAAGATAAAGCATTTGCCGTTGATCAATCCCTTTTTGGGATGCGGCACGCATTCTACTTCCATTTGTACATTCGTAGTGGCGTTTGAATGCGATGTGGCCTATACAATGACTTGCGGGGGCCAGCCGATGTACAAGTCAGTGTTTTTATCCTCCCAGACAAGTCTGGTACCAATTAACCGACCCCGGAGGGATGGAAGGCTTGGTTGGCCCGGGCGACTCACGACCCAGGATTTGATCCCCGGACCGCTCGCGTGGTAAGCGCGCCACTTGCCACTACACCACTTCCGCCCTACTTCCGTTTATAAACAATTTATTTATTATTGTTGACAATGAAAGCACATGCATGTAATGATAAGTTGAGCAAAAATAAACAATATTAAAGACAGGAAGTGAATAAATAAATATAGAAATCAATGTAGACGATGATTGGCTGAAATTACTGAT